TTTAATTTATAAAAATATTTTATAAAAATAATAAATTATGATTTTTATAAAAAATATTTTGAATTTTAGATGAAAATTTCAATTTAATTCTTAGATTTTAAAATTGATTTGTGAATTGATTAATTAACTATAATAATAAATATAATAATAAATTTAGTAATCAGTAATCTACTTTTTTTGTAATTAATTGTAATATATAATTGTAATATATGTTTTGTTAATTGTAATATATATATATATTATACAATACATAATATACCTTTGTTGTATATATAATAAATATTATTGTAAAATTAAAGTTTCTGCTCCTCCTCGTCGTACGACAATTCCATTTGATACTTTACTTTCCTCAGCGTATTTAATTTTATATTTAAATACTCTAAAAAAATATATTTTTATATATATCTTATAGAATATTAATTTTTTTTTTTAATTTAAAATATACGATATTTTTACTTACGATAATATATTATTCCACATCTGTGTTTGTTTTTCATTTACTAAATTAATTTCTTTTATATGTTCTTTTTCCATTATTAAATTTTTTATCTTTGCTTCTTCTGCTTGAATAATAAAATTTAATTCTTCTCTTATCTTTTTACCAGGATTAGAAATTGTAGGATCCTATATAATAATACTTAATTATATGAAAAATTATTTAACTATAATATATAAAATTTAACTAACTTTTATATCCCGTTTTATTCTTTCTTCTATAATCTTCATTTTAGCTATGAGTTTTAGTAATTCTTCTTTTTCTTCAATATCCTTTTAATAGAATAATTAAGGAAATAAAATAAAAATATCAAATAGAATGGACATTATATTAATTACCTTTTTTAATTTTGTTTTTCTACTTTCCAATTCAGATTGTAAATTATTTATTAAGATATTCATATTCGATTTTATTTGGTCTTGCACTTTTTTCGTTTTCTCTTGTTGTTGTTCAAATTCATGATATTTTTCTCTCAATGTCTGCACTTCTATAATATTAAAAATATTTGAATTTTTTTTATCATATTTTAATATATATTCATACCATTTATCAATGGAATTAATTTTGCTTTAAAGGCGGATATATCTCGACATAATTGAAGATTCATCGAAGATGCATTCTCTTCTGTGAAATTATTTGGAGTATTTTTCTTAACCGTTTCCAATTTTTCTTTCGCCCGGTTGCATTGATTATACTATTAGAAATAATTATTATTTATTATTATTTAAACAAATAACATAATATTGTAAAAAGTACCTGATTTTCTAAGATGGCGGCTGTTCGATATAATATACTGTTCTCCGCATTAAACCATGTCAATTCAGATTTACAATGTTTATAAAGTGTTCCCCTAGTTTTTAAACGATTTATATATTTTTTGAAATCTTCCCCTTTAGGAATATCTTCTACTATCAATTTTGATAATTCGCATTTTTCTTCTAATTTTGTCTGCAATTCTTGCAAAGAATTCGCTGTCTTTTCCAATTTTTCAAGAACATTTCTTTTTATATTTGCAACTGCAGCTGCTTGTTGTCGAAATGGTTCTATTTTATCAATATTATTTTTTGTAATCTAAATAAATTTATTATCAAATTCTAAATATATTCATAGATAAAAGATATATTATAATATATTATAAAACTGATGTTTACCTTTAATTCTATTAAATTCTGAATTTCTTTGGCTATACTATCCAAATTATTTCGTAGACCTGTTATTTGATCTGGATTCAAATACGAATACTGTTTTACTATGTTCAAGGCTTTTATACGATTTGTCTTTGCATGTATTTCTGTCGGTAATTTTTCATTCGTAACTACAGTTTGAACAGTAATTACTTCAGATAAATGTTGCAATAATGTTTGAACTGTAATTTCATCTTCATCTTTTTTTAAGATTTGTAATTCTCTTTCCAATCGTTGTAAGTTAGACTAAAATTTTTACATATTATATTATATAATTTTTATTATATAATTTATTATAAAGTTGAAATAAATCTTAAATTTTTCAATCATTAAATATATTATACTTGTAATCTAGATATTATTTCTTTTTCTTGCTCCTCTTGCAATATTAAATCACGTTCTTTATCTTTTTCTATTCGCAAAGCTCGGGCAACATCCAATAAATGCATTCCAGTTTCAGCTTTTATTCTCATTTTTTCGATACGTATAATTACTGCCTACATAATTAAATTATTTCGAATGAAAGAAGAGACTAAAATCTACAAATAAATATACTCACTTCTTTTTCTTTTTCCATTGTTTTTAAATCAGTAGTAAGCTCACTAGTATTCTCATAATTCTATGTTTGTGAAAACAGAATTAAGAAACAATTTTAATAAATAAAAAATAAAATAAAATAATATCAATATGATCTATTACCTTCTTTCCTATTTCTCTTTCCTTATGCATTGTTTTAAATCTATCAATCAAAGTTATGTATTGTTCATAAAAAGCGAAAACTTCTGGATCGCTTAAATATTCGCTAGGAACCTCTATCTAATTAATTATAATAAAATTATATTCAGAAATAATTTTATGAAAATAAGTAAGTATTGATACATATGCATACATATATAAACGTATATGTATACCTTCACTAAAAAGCGTGATAAGTAAGCTCTTTTTTGAACCACATCTATATGAGATAGAAGCCAGGTAAAAATAGGATGAATAATATCAGAATCTCCACGAACCAGACCTTGTCTATCCATATACAAAAATAAATATAATCAATTCGTAACAAAGTAGTTAAAATGAAATAAAAAACTTGCCTAAAGCTCACAGGATCTATTCGTGGCTGATAATGAAATATACGCAGAATAGATAAAATATAAATGGAAATTTCTTCAGAAGTCTCATTTTTTATATTAACATTACCATCAATATTTTGATTTGATTGTATTTTAATCAACAACTCCTTCAATACCTACAATGCAACTTTATAAACAAAATAATCTTAAATGATATAATTTTTTAACTTATTCAAAAACTAAATTTGTCAATAAAAAAAAATATCATAATATCAATTCTTACTTGAAGTAATTCTTCTGAATTTAGAGAATTAAAATAAATCACATTATAATTACGTCCCAACAATTTGTTCACCTCTGTCACAATGAATTTAATGTTCTCTTTCATTATGTTTTAGTTTTTTCTCTTCTTCAAAGATTTTGAACTATTTAACTTAGAAATAACTAGTTAAATTAGAGAAATGTTTTGTTGTTATAAACCGTTGTCTTGGCAACTGATCACATTGCATTTCTCTTTCTTTCTAAAAGTATGCAAAACTCCACGTATGTATATCGTGTTTAAAGAAATTTTCTATATATATTTAAATTATTAGAGATTTCGTTTAAAATTAATTATTAATTGAATGTAATATACGATCCCATTATTTTTAAATTATATCAATTATTCGACACAGTTTATATGCATGTATCGATTTTATGGCAATTTGTACTCCAATTATATTAATAGACAGCATTATTGCATACAGCATACGGAATTGTATATCTTATATATAATGTTAAAATTAATAGTTAAATATATTAAATACATTAAGTCATTAAATATTTTAATGACTAGATTTATGTATAAAAAACTAATTATAATTAAAATTATACAATTAAGTTAGAAATTAAGATTTTAATTTGAAGTTTCTATTAATATAGTAGTTTTTTTATATTTCATGGTAAATAAAGCATTAGATAGAATGCCAAATATAGTTTAAGAATCGTAATCAGTTTTATTAAAAGGAAATTTATCCAGCACAAGATTATAATTAGCAGATAACGACAGAGATCATATTGCCTTTTCTTTTCTTCTTTTTCTTCTTTAAATATATATTTAAATATAACGTATGATCTTTTTTTTTGTCATATAAAATTGTAGTGCTTTCATTTCCTTTATTTTTTAACAATTACACAATTTTGATATGAAAAAATTTGGGAATTAGTTTATGAATTTACTTCATCTTTGATAATACAGC